TGCCCCCCATCGCCCGCCCCTGGGCCGCGGGGACCCGCGTCCCACCGAGGGGACGTCCCCGGAGGCCACGGCGGAGCCGGCGCCCGCGCCCCTCAGCATCCAGTCCGGGGGCCACCGGGCAAGATGGAACTTGTGCCCGCCCGCCCGCTCGCCCGCCCGCCCGCCCGGGACTTTTCTTTGTCTGCCCGTCTCCCGAGAACCAGGAGCCTACCCCGGGGAGGGACGTGTGGACCGGTGCGGGAACCGAGCGGTGCCCGTGAGGGTGGCAGGCAGGCAAGAGGGCGGGCGGGCGGCCAGGGCAGCCGCGACGACGTGCCCTCCTTGTCCAGGTGACAGGACCTGGCAGTGACCGGAGGCTGCTCTGGATGGAGACAAGTGACACCCTACTGGTCCCTACTGAACAGAGATGGGCTCTGAGCGCCTGGGATCCCCACCGAGGATGTTGGGGGTCCAGGGCCTCTTGGGTTTCTGGGGCCACACGGTTAAGAGCCTAAGGATGCATGGGTGGGTGGCTGCTGTTGCACCTTGCATGCATGCCTTGGTGGGAAAAATTTACAGGAGCCTGTAGTAAAGCCATTTATTGTATTTATTATTTTCTTTCTGAATTTTAGCTTTGGGGAAGTTATTTTTTTTTTAACCTGTCCTCTTATTTATTTTTTTTTAATTGAAAGGAAATGCAGTGTATGCCCTAATCGGAGTTCATTTTTTCACAAGCTGTGACATATCTCCTCCCACCCTATCCCCAAGATCTCCCCTAAATCCTGAAGATCCTGTAGAAACAATCATTTTGCTTTTGTAAATAACTAGGTCTTATTTTACAGCGTGGTTTTAGATTGGGGTCCCCCCCCCCTGTGTTTCTAACATTTCCTATTTATTCAGTACATGGAACATGACATGAGTGTCAGCATGGATGCCTGTTTAGTCGTTTGGGTTATCACTTTAGTGAACCCCCTTTTTCATTAAGAAATGGATCTCATCATTCCCCTCCAGTTGTGTGGTTGATGACTTGTTGATCATTATTATTAACTTAAAGATGTCTGATTATTTCATACATTATAGCCAGTTTGAGTTTCCTTTTTTTTATGGTGACTTTTGCAAATCTTTGATTATTTACTATGTATAGTTAAATAGTATAAAAATTTTAAAGTTTTTCTACTTATTTTTCCCTCAAAATAAGTTTAATTGCCAGTTGAATTTTTCTTCTCTTCCTTTATTATTCTGTAGGTCCTGGTCTCTTTTCACTAGAACAAAGGTAAACTTCGGTGTGACAAAACCATTTGCTAGTTTCACGTGTTACCTGCCTGCCCTAATTTGTGATGAAATTATGGGCTGCCTTGACAAGATCACATGAGTAGTATAACCTGTTTGATTTTCTTAAGTCAAGGTTCAAATGTTTGTTAAGAGTGGGTAGACAGGTCAGACCATCCCTTAGCAAAGGTGTACTTCATTCTGTTTGGAATCTCCCGTCCTGTAACAGCTGGCACCAACTTTAGGATAGATAACACCGTCACAGAGATCTTGCACTAAAGGCAGAAACGTGTAGTATTAATATGTTTACACATTTTTTCTGTATTGTATGAAATTGGATTAAAAATCTGGGTCATCCTGGGGCAATCAATAAAGTGAATTTTACTTATTCAGCCTTAGGACCAGTACTGTGCCTCATGGAAGTAACATCATTGAAAGCAGGGCTTTTCCTCATCTGCCATACACTCAAGACTCCTCTGTCTTCATTAGCAGGATAGGATTTTTAATTTAATTCAGTTTTTATTTTTTTATTTTGAGATGATTTGACTCCAAAGGGATGCCAATCTTAACTCTCTAAATATCTCCTCATAGCCTGGCTTGGCCTGTCACCTGGTTGTAGAAAGACTCCTTTAACCACATTAAAGAAGAATTGTATGACCTTCCCTTTGGGTGACTAAGGCACACTTTGTTAGCACTATTTCCTTACATATGGGTATGGATGACAACTTCTCGTAGGGCTGGGGAAATGGCTCAGTGGTTAAGAGTGCTTGCTGTTCTTGCAGGGGACCTGAGTTCAGTTCCCAGAACCCCATCAGGTACTTACCACTAGAGGCAGACAAACACACACACACACACACACACACACACACACACACACACACACACACACACACCATCGCCATTAGTTAGCATTTTATTCACTTGCCCCTTCTGTTATTCAAGTATTTATGCTGTTATTTCCTGTTATGTTAAAGTACAATTATCGTTTCGCTATGTATCCCAGATTCGTCTAATTAACTCCCAAACTTAGCCTTTAGCTTAAAATATATTTGATGATTTTCTTCTTTCCATTTTTGTTGTGTAATTCATAGAATTAAAATAATATTAATTGACTCAGTAATCATTTCCCTAGGGACGCCTTTCCTAATTATCTCATTCCCACTGTCATTATTTAATGCTTACACTTATGCACTCAGTTTTCCCACATTATTTTGTATTTATTACTTTGTCATTATTTATTTAGT